TCGAATCGCTCGACGATTTCTGGCCCCGTCGTCTCTCCTCTCGGGTTTCGCCGGGTATAAAGACGGTGTACGCGATAGTGTACACAGTGCAGTTTCCTGTCGGCTCGAAAGGTCCGAGGAACGCGATTCCGGCGAGGAATCACGACAGAAATTGCATCCCGCACGGAACTAAGCGCTCGCTACCGACTAGTTATTACCAAACTTTCGTACCCCGACATTAACCCCCGGGGTGTCGGAGATTGCTAGGTTGCCGGTCGACGCGATACCGCAACGCCGATCGACGGAGGACTTCGACGAGCGTACGGCCGTCTTAAAAGTCGACGAAATATTAGGGGTATTAACAGTACATTAGCGACCACTCACCGCTAATCATCTCCGGGTAACGAAAGCGGCGATTTCGACGAACCGCGATGCAACATTTTCCGCGAATCATCTCGAGGGAACTCGAACGGTCTCGAACGTTCCATTCGACGGACGCGTGTTTCTTCGCTGGTTTTGACAGGAGAGGACTCGGCGGTCGGCGGCTTTTCAAGTTCTCACCCCCGCAGCAGTTAACGCGATGTCTTTGCCCTCCTCTTTTTGTTTTGAAAGGCGGCCGACCATCGACCGACCGTCGACCCGCCGTCGACCCGCCGTCGACCGACCGATCGACTTACAAATCTACGGGCCAGTTTCTTCTCGTTTCCCTCTTTCATGTCTACCGACGAGCATTTCCGAGCGATCCCAACGGCGGACCACCGCCGTCGGTGCGAGTTGCAAACTGTCTTGTCGCCGGTGGTGGAAACAACCCCCTACCGTGAGAAATCTCTAGCCTAAAGACTATTATCGTTAGGACGAGCGTCGCTATCGGTCAAAGATAAGCATCGAACGGACGCTACGGCCGAGATATACGTTTCAACGAGTCGAACGCACCGGCGTGAAAAGGTTGACACCGAAACCCTCCGGTTCCGGCGAACGAGGGTTAATTACAATGATCGGCGGTGATCGAGTAGGAATGACCGGCGCACGGGATCGCTCGTCCTGGGAATGTTACGCGCCGGTCCTCCCGCTCGTGAATCCTCGTAGTCCCGAGCCTCGATACCACCTATCGAACTTTCGGCCGTACACGTGGGCATGTACCGGGCGGCGAGAAAATTACAGAGCCGGCGCCGATCGGCTACCGAGCGCTCGCCGCGGCGTACGAGAGAACCGGTAATTTCCAAGATCGAGAAACGCGAGGCTGATTAATGCGCGAGCATTTAATTTATTCATTCACCGTTTCTCGGAGGTTTCTCGGACGCGGCGGGCACCCTTCGGGATTCCTTGGTGGTCCCGGTGGTCAGCGGCCAGCTGATGGGGCGTGTCATCGGGTCGGTCGTGACCGCCAACTCGCAACCGAGCGCCGGCACCTTCGCAATTTCCCTATTTCTATCGGTCGCGCCTATTACGCTTGGTTCGCGTAGCTCGTGCGCGTCGGGAGTTTCATCGATCTCGCGATGCATCTCGCGGCCGGAAGAGAATCGGTTCGGGGAATTCTCGAGTATCGGTCTGTGTTTCGAATCGGTAGTAGAGCGACGAACGTTCGTAGTTTCAGTCGAGTACCTTCGACTGGCAATTATTTTCACCGAGAGGTAGATATCCCTCGAAAGGAGGACTTTGTTGCAATCTCTAAAACGAACAAAGATGCTTTATCTTCGTTCGAGTCACGAAGCGCGTGGCAGCCGGGTTGCGACGATATCAAACGCGGTTTAGATCCCCGGAGATTGATAAATGTTGCAAGGAACGGCCACGATACCGTCGTTTGCAACTTTCCGAGGGAACGCTCGGCGTTCTATCGAAACGGAATCTCCGAAGAAACCTCGTGCTACCGAATTAACCCCCGGACCTTGCTCGGTCGAAGCGAAGCGGAAGGGGTAAACGGCAACTAAGAATCACTTTTTCGAGTGATCCGCGATGATTAAAGAGTCCCGGAGGAAACTTTCTGTCCGGAGCGCGAATTAACTGTGAACTACATCGCTAAGCTCCACTTTCGATCTGCCTCGTAATTTCCTGCGTGGTAATTTGCCCGCGTACGGAACATTACGTTGCGCAGGAAGCTGTTACACCTTAATGGTCGCTTTTATCGCGGACACACTTTTTACTGGAAAACCGCCGGTGAATTTCGCGAAAAGAAGTTTCAACTCCGCGGTGGGCTGCCGGCGAAACGCACGGGTTTCGCGATCTTTCCGATTCTCGTTCGAGGAACGGATCATTTTCTAAAACGGGTAATCGACGGTTTCGAGAATTCCGTACGTTCCAGCCGAATCGAGCAGCGCCGGTTCTTGTCGCTCGGAATATTAGGGGCTGAGAAGAAGGATCGTCGATTCAATTTTCAGCCCGAGCGGCCGGAGCAGCCTCGAGGACCAAATTATGGAGCCGGTGTTGTTATAATCTAATTTTCCACGGTGGCGCTGTCGCAGGGTTGCTCGCGGGAACCCGATTTACCGATTCAGGTGGCATCATCAATCTTGGTCGGATGCGAACGAGAAAGAAACAGCAAATCAAACGCGTTTCTTGTCGAAAAGTTTTCAGACTAAACGAAATAAACGAAATAAACGAAACGAACCAAACTTTATTTCCATCTGGCATTTGAACCTTCTGTCGCGAGATTCAATCTCGCTCCGGTCTAATCTTTAGCGTAAAGCGGGCAAAGGGGATAACGAAACTCACCATCGCCGAGCTTAGCCTCGTCCTCGGGGTCACGACCTCTCAGCAGCCTGGAGATCGCGGAGACGCTGGGAGCGCTGGTCCTGTCGCAGATTCCTTCTTTGATCAATCTGTCGCGAATCTCCCAAGAGAAGATCCCTGGATTGTCCCTCTTGTATTCTTCGATTCTCGCTTCGACTTCCGGCGTGGCTACCCTGGGTTTGCTGCCACCGATCACGCCTGGCCTGATGCTTCCCGTCTCCTGGTAGCGGTTCAGGATCTTCGAGACGCATCCGTGCGACACCCTCAACTGCCTGTCCGAGCAAATAATCCGATAGGAATTACGCCGACGAATCTCGAGGAACGCCGCGCGATATTATATTTATCGTTCGGATTGCAAAATAACCATTGCCGCGTGACGACGTTACGACCGGTAAACATAAAAACGTATATGCGCCAATGGATGATACCTTGAAATTACGCAAGGTCTGACGCCAGCAGCGGCCATCTCGACGATTTTCAGGCGAATGTGATTCGGCAGCGGCCGCCCGTTTATAAAGACGCCACCGAGCTGATTGACGCGGCCCTGACCCGGTATCGATCCCAAATCTGCGACAGAACATTAACGTGCGTATTAATCTTGAGGCTGGAAAAGCCTCGGTGCGATGCATGCAATGAAACAACAACGACAGGATCCGTTCGATCCGAAGGTCGATTGCGAAATGGTCGATCCTTTTGTTTCACGCTCGCGCGGCCGAGCGGCCGGCTACCGATCGATCGACCGATCGATCGACCGATCGAGCCGAGAGAACAGTTACTCGACGGCGAATAAAGAGAGGCCTGGATTTATCGTGCCACCTTCGTCTCGACGCGTTTCCCGCGTGTCGCGGGGAGGATCGACGGAACGGGGAACCAAGGGAAACGGAACGAGGAAAGAGTTATCGGCTGGCATACGCAGCCCCATAAACAACGATAAGACCAATCAATTCGAAGGGTTTACGACGCACAACACTGATAGCGTATAATTTGCCCCGGCCAAAGCGTGCTCCGACCGATCGCGATCCGGACGGACTGTTTGCTTTGCCAATCGTTGGAAACCGGTATCGCCTTCTTAACAGAGATTCTCCTCGAGAACCGTCCTTTTCCCTTGGCTCGACGAACCTGGAGAACTGCTCGCGGATGCCATCGATCGTTTAATTTTCCAGGGGAAACCTTGAACCGAGTAGCGGACGCGGCACCTCCGTCCTTTCCGCGGAACGGCGGGCTTCCAGGTAATCTCGAGGAGCATTACGGGTAACTGGATCGATCGCGATCGAGCCGCGGAAGAAACACAGCTGTGCCCGGTATACATGCCTAGGTGTACACCTGTGTGACTCACTTTTCTGGCGCAGTGGCGAGAGGAAAAACTGTGTGTGTCCGCCCCCCGCGACGATATGGAGCGCTACGGAGCGCGCGCGTTCTGTGGTCGCCGATGCGAGACATCGCCAGAGGAAAAACCGATTTGCTGCTACTTGTCGTCCCGATACTAGAACGTATCGCCGGTGAAAAAATGTTCGCGCGTTGAAGAAATGTTTAAGCGAGGCAAGAAACTCCGCGGAAAACCTCAGAAATTGTTACAACGAGCCAAGAGGTCGTCTCGGAAACAATGGGAGTCCTTCGACGAACACGAGAGAAAAAATCGTTCTTAGCAACATCCTGAGCTAACGGAGTTACGAAGTGCACGAAGTGCAGCTGAGAAAAGGAACGAGAGAACTCGGAGCTTTTGTACGTGTCCTCTCGCGAGTCGTTTCAACGCGCAAAGACAAAACTAAGTAATTCGATTAAGTTGATCGTGTAACGAAACGATGGACGAGAGAGGAAAACATTGATACGGGGAGGGGAACACGGCGAATCGGTGGTCGTAATTGCGCAGAATCTGCGGTCAGTTGCATAATCGGCGACGCCGCGACGCCGCGACGCTGCGACGGCCGAAAAACGGCGAACGGAACGGGACACTGGTCGCAGCCTTCGAGAATCTAGCCTCGCGACGCTCGGCAAAAGTTCCCGCTAATTTGTCCCGGTAATTAGAAAACGATCTTGCAAGGCTGCCGATCGATCCTCGAGCCGATTTCGATTTAACCGCGATCTTCGCTCGAGATTCGAGTGCTCTCGCCAGCGGAGCAGTTGAACGAGCGTTCAACGAACATTAAACGAGCTGGGATTGTTAATAAAAGGACAAATCTAATAGCTACTTATGTGAACGGCGTTTAATGTCGGGGAAAGCCACTTCCGCGGTATTAATCGAGCTCGGAAAGATTTTCGCCCTCGCTTCTCACGGGAGCGCGCGCGGCGAACGGGTTTCGACATTCAGTGAAATAATTAACGATCACCGATGCACACACGCGGAGCGGGACCGCGTGGTAATTGCGAGAAACGTGTCTGCAACGTTATCAATCTTCCAGGAATATTTAATTAGCCCGTTCGCCGGGCGTTAAACGCTTTCATTTTGCATACGCAGTCGCGCAAACGATTCGTTGACTAATTGTCCGGCGCAATTAAACACGGCAACAACGGCGGTGCGTGAACCTGGACAGTGACAAATGATGATCCGCGGACGCGCGTAAGCAACAAATAAAAATGCTAAATTCGCCGGCCGACTTCCTCCCATTTGCGTCCGCAATTACGTCTACTGTCTACCGATCCCGCCACGATTCGAACTCCTTATCGCGCCGCGCCGCTATCTTTTCTTTCTATCGACCGGTGGATTCTTCGATTAACTACCCGCCAAAGGAAAGAATGCTAATTCTCGCGCGGGATTCGCGCGTTTCAAACTTCGCTGCGAACGGAAGGATACCGAAATTTACCAGCCAATAAAAAGGAGATGGCCGTGTCCGTTTCCAAGAGAGCCGCTCGTTCGGGTCTCCGAATTTTCCGACGCGCAACAGAGACAACGGGGAGCAAGTTTCACGATTGCACGCTGCTCGATTTTGTCGCGAAGAGAAGCAAACCTTACAATCATCACCGATTAGTTACGATCAACTACTTTCGAATTCTTTCGTTTGCCAACGAATTCCGAACTAGACTGGGATGAAAGGTCCAGTGTATCGTTTCTTTCACCGTCGAAGACCACCCTTTCGACGTCTTACGCGAGAAAGCGAGAGTGGGAGTACTCAGGTAACCCCCCCAACTTTTTTGTCCCGGGCGAAAAAAATGGATGGCGCGGGCGTGCAAAGTCGAAAAGCAGGAGCACGAGTTTTCCAGAGCGACGGCGTGCCCCCCAAAAAATCCATTTCATTATTTATGGCCGTCATTAATGGTAATGTTCCGGTGTTGCAGGGTCAGGTAAGGTTATATATCAGTGGTACGTTTAAAAGTCTCGAGGGTATTCTGTCGGTCGATTTTCCGAGACTTTCCCGCCACCGGGTCTAGCTGTAAAATCTCGACTCCGAATGGTCCTGGAATTTGCCAGAACCGACCAAAGAAAGTTCTCTACGCGTTCTCCAGATGCCAACTACTGTTCTCCGCCGTCGCGACAAGAAAAAGCTAGCCTGGTCCCTCTGAAGACGTTACGATTTACAGGGCTTCGACGATTCGCAATCGAACAAACTGAAACGTTATCTCTCGACTCGTCAGAGCTGACGGAAAGTGGCGATGAAAAACAATGCTGAAATACCTGACTGGGAGTGAGAATGTCTGTCCTCTTACCTTGGAAGGGGTATCCAGTGAAGCAGGGTCGCATCATCGAAAAGTTAGTGGTAACCGTCATTTCAGCGCGTCCGCGCTACCAGTGTTCCTCACAAAACGCCAAAGCGTAACAAAAAGCTGTCACCAACCACTGTGCTCCCCGGAGAAGCGTTCACCGATTAATAAATCACCAGCCCGATACACTCTCCTGGTACTCCGAGGAGTCGTTCGATGACTGAATCCGAATAACCGGCTCGAATGATGGGAGAACGGAGGACGGCAACGGATGATCCTCGATATTCGACAGAGAAATTCTCCGATTATCGAAACACAGCCAGGGTATGTCGCACTGATCGGTATTCCTCGAGGATACGGCGAACTGTCACTGCTGGATCGGCGCACAGCGGTCTGTTCTGGCGAGGTGAGCTGCCTGCAGCCATGCGCGGTCCAGCCCCGTCGAGACTCGTCTCCTCTCCGTTCGGCGTGTCCTGAGACGGTGTGCGGTGGTCCCGGCGGCGAATACACCTGTGTCCTCGGGAACCGAGCCAGTCTCGTAACGACAACACTCTCGAGCTGGACCTCGACCGATCGGCTTCCTGATCCTGACTAGCCTCCTCGAGCAGTCGCCACCGGGGTAACTAACTCGCTTGGCCACTCCCATCCGAGCTGGCTTCTTCAGGGGATCTCAAATGGTGGGGAAACACGATGTTAGGTCTCGGTTAGGTGGCGAGGACAACGTGCTCGGCCCGCTTTCCGTACCTGTTTCCGCAGCTTCGCCGACCAATCCATGATTCGGAATGATCCCCTCGTCGCGCCCCCGAAGTCACGCCCAGCGGCGCATGACTGGAAGCTTGCGGGGGAGGCCAGCGGAGACCATGCTTGCCGGTGCTCCTTTTTCTGCACACTCTGGTGGGAGCAATTCGACAAAACACCGCTTTTTTCTACGGCATTTTGCGAGGCGCTCTTCTGTTTTCGAATCTCTCGAGATGGCTTTTTTAGCGATGCGAACAGTCCTCTCGGATTCGCCAGGTTTTTCCAGTCCGACGTTAATTTAACGAGCCTCTAGGTTCAATGACAGCAAAGAGACTTCTTGCGACGGTGTGCCATTTATCGGACAGCCGGTTACAACATTGTCTTTCACCTTTTCTTTCGGTCCATTTTGTTTCGTTTCCCTTCCAACGATTGTGTTTTCGCGCGCCGCGGTACCCCGGTTTTTGCGCGCTTTTCAAAATCGTGTTATTAATAAGGCTTTGCCGGATGAACGAGTCTCGGCCGTTCGTTTTTGGAGCGTTGTTGATAAACGCGAGAAACCTCTGGTAAAATCTGGCGAGTAAACAAGAAGTTACCGCGGAAAGGAGATTAATATTCCACGAGACCGCAGTGGAAAAAGTTCGAGAACGAAATTCCGTGAAAAATTCTGACGGCCCAAGAAAATTTAATTGGACACAGTTTTTCGGCCGATCGGAATTGTCGGAGCTCCGAATTATTGTTACTGGGAAAACGCGTGGCCCTCCGTTCTTCGATTATCGCGACAGAGGAGGAAGACCTCGGCGGATGAGTCGTCGATTAGAAATTTATGGCTGACGGATCCTCGCGGAAGTAAATCGTCGGACGACCGCCGCGAGAGCCGAACGACGCGCGACGGACCGGCAAACGGTTTGAGCAAGAGACGGGCTCGAATAACGGCGACTCGCTTGAAATCGTTCTCCCGACAATTAACGCATGATCACTCCCAACTTTCGCTTTTTAGGATCGCCATTCTTTTCCCACCGAGGAAATGACGACGAAAAGACTCGAGCCGGACGTGACAGCCGACATCCGCGTAAAAAGGCTAATTGAATCAGAGGACTGGCATTTCCTTTTTTCTTTGGCGAGGCGCAACCATTTGAAAATTAGAGAACACCTCCCACCTTCGCTGTTCTCTTCCGGCCGCGAATCTAAGCAACAGATTAATTTGTCTTGAACCCCAACAGAACTAAAGGATAAGCTTAAACCCTCGCGAAACGACAACAAGCGACAACAAGCGACAACAAGAAAAGTCAATTAAACGTGAAAAGCTGCAGCGAAGAAAAGGAATCCTCCCCGGAGCTGTCCTCTCCGGCAGGACCATAGCTATGCTCGGAATCGATTCGAGCCGCAGCCACGAAACTCACCCCCTAGATCACGGCGGTGGCACCGTACGATTTTCCGGGAGCGTAACTCGTCGAGTGAGCCGCGTCGATTCGTTCCGTCGCGAAAGCTCCGACGCGGGGAAAGCCCGGTAGGAGAGGGGAAAAAATCTGTAGGTGCCCGTGTCCTTAGAGAGGGCATTGTTCCAGCGTGGCGGGATGCAGCGCGGACCGCTGATGCCCCATCAATGTTTATTATCGTCCCTGTTTGTGCTGTGCCGTGAGTTCCGGAGCGCGAGAATGGCCAAACAGAAGGCCGGCCGTGGAGGGGGCGAGCATTCAGTCGCGGGAGCCGGCGGAAAAGCGGAAGGAAACCGGCGGAGGACCACCCGCCGCGTCGTCCTGGAGTAATACGGCGTTACTTTTAAACGGGGCTTGCCCCGGCCGACGGTGTCCCGCGGCGAGGACAAAACAAAC